TTTTTATAAGAAAATGTTAATTTCAAACTGTATCTCCTCAATAATTTACATATTAATTTCTTTAAAAATTTTATTCAATTGCTCAGTTGACTCTATATTTTAGACAAAAAAGGCGCTTTTTTGAATTTTTTTTTTAATTGAAATTTTATTTAGGTTTAAGTTTTTAAAAAATGGCTAATATTGGTTATATCATCACGCAGGTGACAATTTACTAACAACATATACCTGCATCTAATTAAATGCTAAACCTAACCCTATGTGATGCTGATTTACTGTATTACGATGCTTATTGCATCACAATTAATTAACGATCAGACATGTACAAGCCACCCAAACAAAAAATATATAAAACAACTCGCTTTTTTTTATTAATTCTGTTTTCAGAATTGTCATTACATAAAATTTAAAATTCCAAATTTGCGCAACCTAAATGTTGAATATATTTAATAAAATAAAAAATTGTTAATTCAAATTCTAGATTTATACCTATTCAAGCGCTCGTTATCTGCTCTTTCGGGTGCTTGATCCCTTTTAATATCGCCCAATTCGGGTGTTTTATCCCTTTTAATATTTTCCAATTTAGGTGCTTGTTCTTTTTCCGTACTTTGGTTAGATGCATTAACATTAACACGTCTTCGATATTCTTTATACATTTCGACTTCTTTTTTTATCTTTTTTTGTTGTCGAGCTTTAAATGCTTTTAAATAAGAATTATATGGATGAGAGCGTCTTGGTGGCATTTTAATAATAAAAAAAATGTAATTTATCAAAGTATTAGGCATTATTGGCGTTATTGTATAGGATTATGATGCAAAATATATGAATTATTAATGAATTAAGCGTTATTATATAGGAAAATACCATGTAATAAATAATTTTATCGATATATATGTATTTTATTTGATATATTCGTTTAATTAATCATAAATACAAATAAAATTATTACAAATAAATAAATACACGCATATAAATTATTTGAATATCAAACTATCATTTGTTCTAAACTTTCTTTATTTTTGAAGAAGAAATAACGAACAAAAACCGATTACTAAACCCGTTATAGCACGTTAAAATTATGCATATTAAAAAATTAATGCATAAAAACTTGAACAAAAGCCAATTACTTAAATCGTTATAGTTGAATTTGAACAAAAGCAAATTACTTAAATCATTATGGTTGAATTTGAACAAAAGCCAAAATCGAATTAGTTAAATTCATAAATCATTCCTCAATTAAAAAAACCTAAAACCGCCAATTGTTCAAAATTAAATTTGTTGAATTTTTAACATCGAATTCATACCTCAATTAAAAAAAAAAAAAACTTTTCTAAAACCTTGAACAAAAAGCCAATTGTTCAAAAACGTATTAGTTAAATTTTAACGTCGAATTCATACCTCAATTAAAAAAAAAAAACCTTTCCTAAAACCTTGAACAAAAAGCTGATTGTTCAAAAACGTATTGGTTGAATTATTAACATCGAATTCATACCTCAATTAAAAAAAAAAAGCTCCTAAAACCTTAAACAAAAGCCAATTGTTCAAAAATGTATTAATTGAATTTTTAACGTCGAATTCATATATTTTAAAAAATTATTCATGCAAATAATTGTGCTTAAATGAACCTTCAACGATAAGCAAAAATGTTGATCAATTTACCAACCTTTTAGCTGAACGAATTTATTGGCCAAATTCGGTTATTGTCTCTTTCGTCGTTTCTATTGGTTGATTTGTTTATTGTTCTTGATGGTTTAGCCATTGATCATTATGGCCAGTTTAAATGTTAATCGAAAGACAATAGTTATTGTCTAATTAAACATATCTATCAATATAATTAATGAATTATTATAACTTATCTATGAAGTGATAGTATTATTTTCGAATCGGGATTTATCTTTAAATTGAGCTTTGTTAAAAAATGAATAAAAGCATGCTATTTTTTAAGAATTGCGAGATCATATAATTAATAAATCGATCTTTTTTTTTTGTCATTAAATATGCCAAAATCATCAAAGCAAAAATGCCATATGGCATACATGCGCTCTTACCGAGATGAAGTCCAACAAATTCATAAAATCATACCCCAAATTGATTCTGATCTTATTCCACAAATACATAAGACCCTTACTAATGTGGTAAATCGTACAGAAGATAAAAAGATTTTTCAATCAATTCATAAAATGACTGAATCACAAAAAACAAATATATTAAAGCTCTTTACCTCAATGCGAAATCCAAAAGGAAACATGCTGATCAAGTTATTTCACCTTATCTGCAAAAACAAGCACTCGACTTTATTACAGATCCTAAAAAAAGTCAAGTTAAAAAATTAAAAACTGAGAATACTAAATTAAAGTCATCAAATAAGAGACTATTAAAAAATAATCAAAATCTAATATGCAAAACTCAATATTTAGGTAGGTTATTTATATTTGTTATAAGTTTGATAAAATCTCGTTAGACTATATGATTTGTATAGTAATTGTCAAACAATATTACAATAATTTTTACTTTACCAGGTAGTTCAAATCGGCATCTTCGAGACAAAGTAAAAAATCGAATTTCAACTATCCGATCATTGGTACGAAAATCAAAGCAAATACCTCCAAATGAATTCAAGTGCCAAATCAATATGTTATTTAAAACAAATAATCGGGAATACTCATCTAAGATAGTTTGGCTTTCCACTAAAATTTCACAAATTGGGCAAACCTCTCTTACCGCAACTGTTGAATCATTACGACTGGTCTATGAATTCTTAATCGGAGAACCTCCACAAAGATGGTTATCTGTAACAACTCTAAGTACCTGGCATAAGGATGTTTCACAGATTGAAACTGAAGCTGCTATACAGAAAGTGATACAATGCTCATGATACGGAATCCTTGTAGATGAGTCGACTCGTGGAGAGAATAAATATTTTGTAATATGTATAATGTTTTGGGATCATAAAAAAAATATACCATCAGTCATTATAACCGATCTTGAGGATTTAGATAAATGTACTAGTCAATCAGTTGCGGATAGCACTCTTAAAGCAATTACAAACCATGGTCTTGATCCAAGAAATTGTTCAACATAGGTAACGGATAACACTGCCTATATGTCAGGTAGGGTTAATAAAAACATATAGTAATTAAAATCTGAGTTTTGATTTAAATAATACTCATCTGTTTTTTTAATTTATCTTCGTCTGTTTTTAATTACATTTGCCATCCCTAATAACAGGTAATAAAAAAGGAGCAATTACTCAATTTAATAAAAAGGCAAATGTAGATACAATAAGAATCGGTTGTGATATGCATATAATGCATATAGTCTTTTCAAATTTTGAAGAGGCTTTCGGCAAATTACCTTCCTCAATTGGATTTTCACGAACACCACAACCATATAATCTACTTTACTTAGCTTGGTATCTTCACGACGGATATAGCTCAAGTAATAAAGGGAAGCCTCTTAACATGAAGTCGAGTTGGATTCAAAAACTATATGATGGATTATTAGGGTTTCATTTTTCCCAATACCAATTGCCAATTCGGGGTCGTTGGGGATATGAGTTACTTGCTGCAAAGCAATATTTAGCCCATCATGAAGCACATATAGCATTTGCAAATTGGTTCATTAAAGAACTTGAAAATAATCAGAATACACCACCTGCATATCTTTCAGATTGGTAAATTTTAATTAATATTCATGAATCTTTGAATGTTTATTTTAAATACATCTATTAATAAGTTTCTTTATACTTACTAATAACTAGGTGTTTATTTCGGGATTGGCTCTTAGACAAAAAACTGAATATTCAAGTTCAGTGTTTAGTTACATTTGGCGAGCACTTATATGAGCCATTGATGCAATTTATAGTTGGAAAGGATCCCATACCTCGTATTCAAGTAGAAAACCATCTGGTTTAACTTCCACCTGGCCGGCATGCTTATGAAATGCCAGATAAAGTGAATGAGTGGATAAAGTTTTTAGATGAACTTAGAGAAAATTTTGATACATTCTTTGGACAAGAACTGCTAACAGCGCTTGAATCACTAAATAGCAAAGATTTTGGTGAGCTCTTTGACAAATTGGAACGGGGGATGAACAAAGCATATGAAACTTTCTTAAAATGGATGTCCCCATGGGTCCATTTACCATTATCAATCTGCAGTTTAGGTGGAAATTCAAGCCATGAATTCGCCCGAGCATTTTATTATGTTGTTCTGCAAGAGTGGCTTGTAGAACCAACAGAGTATGAAATAAACTTAGCGCATCAATTACGCATCGACTTGGAGACAACTAATAATACTTTCAACCTTCAGGAAGAATTATTAGGTTCTTTAGAGTTTAGGAACGAGTTTCAAAAATTTTGTCTTACCCCAACCTCTGAAATTTATAAATATCAGTTATTATATAAATTCGTTAAAGAACGAATTTATTTTATCATAATCCACCAGCAGCAGGTCGAAGGACTTTTTAATAAACTAGATTTAAAGACTCACCCAAATATGACGCAAGATCTAAAGCAATCGAAGTTACAACTTTCATCTGGAGATATCAATGAAGAAAATATTGCTTTAGGACTTTCAAAAGTTCGTACAAACCGTAAAAAGCAGTTGGCGGAAATAGTTCAAGATGGTGTAAAAACATATGGGGAAGAAGAAGCGACTAAAATATTTTTAGATTTATATAAAAGTTAGTCTTTGTCATAATCGTAATGTAATAAAAAAAAATTTTTTTGTAAATACGAAGTAGAAGATTTTTTTTATCGTTATCAATAATATATAATATAAAAGTCAAAATCGGTGATCATTTCAAAAAAAAAATCTAATAGTAATTTTTATATGAGACTATACATATATTTGATCTACATAGTACATTGGATACCCCAACATTACATGCTAAGATAACAAAATATTGAACTATAACACTCCTGTTTTGTTCGATCCACACCCTTTACCAAACCAACATACATGCTATCACATATTCATTAAATTTTATAATCAATAATCTTACTACTCGTATTCCATTGGAGTCATACGTTTAATTATCTCCATTGTTTCTTGATTTTCTCCCATCACAGGATCAACCCAAGCAGACAATAAATGTTTAAGGCTATTTGTGATATCATTAACGTTGGTCGATGATGAGTTTGATGTAGACTGCTCTAAGCAATTGTAAATGTTCGACGATAGTCCAAACAATCCAAGTGAGGTCTGAAAATGCTCTCGGAACTCTTTGATTTCAGAATCTGAAGCATCTGAATCTCTATTATTTTCAAGTCTAATCTTCTTGATAAATTCCTTTCCTGTTTCTTTAGCATCCGTTTCATATCCTTTTAGTACTTCTTCAATTTTACGTTTGCAGGAACCCATGTTACGTGTTGTAGTAAACTTTGACGGAACGTCAGCTGACTCTGATTTTGCACCTAATTGCAAATACAAGGACAAAAATGGCATGTACGGTAGATCCTCAATGCCTACATAGGCTGGCGACAGAAAAGTAGTTGCGGATTTTTTATATTCATATCTACTATTAGTAGAGTGATTTTTAACTTGTATTAGTATGTATGAAATACGATCTTCATTAAAGTTTTCATCAAGAGTGCCCATATATAGAGGTATTATAATATCTGCTCCCCGCTGATTTCGTTTACATGAAAATGCAATACCGCGAATCAGAGCTTTCCCAAGATTCTTTCTATCTGGAATATATCTAATATTGATAAAGTGTGTGAAATTAATATAAGCTTCACCGAATTTTCTTCCTGTAAATTTTACTGTCTCTTCAAGGCGATTCTTTATTTTCTCATAAACATTGTCCGCGAGTAATGATTTTAAAAATTCTTCAAGAGTCACGAATCGAAAATAATTTTTGCTAATATTCGTGTCATTTGTTTTTTTCTCATCTAGGATCTTTTTTTTTATACAACAATCCCAGGCATTGAGAAGTAATAATCTGGCTGTAAGCTCTCCACGGTAACCGGCCTCTACTACGCCCTTTTTTAACGCTTCGGAGAGCTGATTAATAAGTTTTGTGAGGCTGATATCCGAATCATTCATTATTCGAGCGCTAGCCTCTGCTAGCACAGGTTCGGTAGACATCGATGTAACAACGTATTTACGATCCTCTAAGACACTAATACAAAGGCGCATATTGTTTGCTATTAAATCAGGCGCAAAACTAGATTGTGGCGCTATTTCGATACATAAACGGGGTCCTAGAATAGCTAAAGTATCCAATATTCCAAGATGTACTTTTTTCTTCCAAAAGCTGAAAAATTGTCCGCCAATAAGCTTGTCCATGGCCAATTCGATAATACGTTCTGATTTCATTCCTTTAGTATCACTAGAAGGCATTAATAGTGCACCCCACAAAGGTCTTCCATACTGAAAAAAATGTTGTGGATCTTCTGATTCCTTTAATGTCATTACTTCCTTAAATTTAACATTCATGTCCATAGTGTCTAACAAATAAAATGGCGCAAATAACAGATACCCTTCCTCTGCAACTCTTTTAGATGGATCGAGGTAAGAAGTAGGCGAAAAGTTCGAAATATTTGAATGTGTGTCCGTAAAGACCGCAAAAATTCCTGATCCTTCGGGTAAGAGAATTAAAGCACGTCGAATATAATAGAACGGTGAATTTTTTTCAACGTTCTTACTTCCACCCTTCTTACCAACCAGCATACGAGCTTCATCGAATGCAAACAGGTATTTAACTGAACCTTCTCGTTCTTTTCTTTCTGGTTCTGTTCTTTCTTTTTTAACCAAATATTTCTTAACCGATTCAGTTGTATCACTATCCGTAGAACATTTCATTAAATCATCCTTGATAGATTTCATTCTGTTTTCAACATCTCTCCAAAAATTCTCTTGCAAATTTTTATTGGTATGCCCATCCAACCATTTCTTACAATCTCCATCGAAATCCTGCATCTTTTGAAAACATGCGCATATGTACGCAAGATAGGTAGCTTTGGCTTCTTGTTCACTATCAAACTCTTTTATTAGTGTTCCGGCAATATTCGATCTGGGTGGATAGCCACTTGATCCGAATTCCCGCAAACAGCAGTATACGGTCATTATCTCTTCGGCAACACTTATCAATAATTTGGATTTCCCTGTGCCACTGGCTTGAATTAAAGTTGTATATGGCGCATAATATTCGTTTCTCGTTGTTTCGTATTTATCCAGGCACTTGTCAATAAATTGTATAAACCTTTCCGAAAGGTTACTTGGATCTTGAAAAGTTCTATTAAAAGCTTTCTGGACGATTTCCTCATCTTCCTCATTTCTAGGACGATATAACGACTCTAATATAGAATGTACAAGAAATAATTAAACTTCGCTCAAAAATCGCCAATAGAATAATACTATTCGTAATCAGCTTACTTGACGGTTCATCCGCTTTTCCTAAGTAGTAAGAGTAACAAGATAAGATTGCATTAATTCAGATTATTTGTGATCGGCTAGTGACTGAATATAATACCTTTTTTTACATCAGATATTTTGACTGGATTATCAATCGAACATTTTTGTTGTTTAAGGAAGTCGATAATTTGCATTTTTGACCAGCCAAAATTCATTTCTTTATCCCCAATAATAAACACATAATTTTCCAATGGGCCTTCAATATTGAAGCATTCTTTTAAATGTTTATGCAGTTGAATAAAATCTTCCCAAGCGCCGGAACTAATACAATGAACTTTTGACGCGAGGTACTGAAAGTATAGGGGGGCTAAAAGCAAAATTGTAAATTTCGTAAATGATATCACAATATAATAAAACGAGGAAACTAAAATATTCATAGTGCTTACCCGTACCTGTATAATAAATATGAGGCACAAGTTAGTAAATGAAATTATTGCGGAGAAAGCAGTATAGGTTTGGAATATGAGTCAGAGACTCGACACTTTGTGTCTTCGAATGCAGTCGTGGTACTACTTACCCTGTCCTTCTCCTTTAATTTCATCGACTAAATCCGCTATGATTTCAGCCGGCCCACCAGGAAGATTGTAAGGGTGAGCTAGAAGCTTTTCTGTAGTTAGTTTCAGGAAAGCGCGACCGGAGACCTCATTTTTTTCGATTTGTTCGATGTACTTGTCATTAAGTTCAAGGTCCAACTCTTCTTTTTTTTCTCGAATAAATTTAATAATATCAGCTGTTTTCCATTTTTTTTGAACCTCATCGACTGATGGAGAATCCTTAGACATGTTTATGTTTTGCATAGACCAAAAAAGAATTTTTTTAGTAGGAAGTAGTCGTACATTCACCTTTTATAGTTTATACAGAAAATCATATTGTCGTACAAAGATCACGCATGCAGATTTCCGAATTTTTTCATCACCGTAACTAATTACTATAACAATACTCTTATATTTTACTTGAAATTTCGATCACGTAAATGAATATCTTTGTTACATGGACAAACTATTGTTATACGGAAAATCAGCAATGTCACGGTAAGATTTTACAAATTCCGCTTAAACTATCGTTATTGTTATCAAATTGATAATTAGGATTTAATTATTCGAGGGTATATAGATGACTCGAAGCTTTGCTTCTTTCCTTAGAAATTATCACATTCACATCGCTTGTATATGCCATTCGCTACTTTTTTACAGGTCTTACAATATAGGTGTGAATGATGATCGCATTCGTCACAAACCTTACACCCGTGCTTCCACCCTCTAAAGATATGCCACTTTTCGGTATAATTTTGTTTGTATATATTATTCGGATTTTTCATTATTATTATACGTATATTAACAGTAAAAATATAACGTGGCTAAAAATTTTTATTATACGTATAAACCTATAATGTGTGTTTGTGACCCGTTTACAAATAAATTATGCATAATGGTAAGCCTCATAAGGAATTTTTAATTTATTCTGCAAGTACGTACTATACATTCAAAATTTTTTTCATCGATCTTGTTACTGTTATGTAACATTGTACAGTATGTAATTCATTTTTACCCGTTACTAAAATTTGATCTTTTTGTTGAGGTAAATAAAGAAGAGAGTCCCGCTGGGCTCCTAAATATTATTTTGCGATTTTTGATGTCTATTATGTTTACCTATGGGATAACTGTAGATTTTTTTCATTAACAGTATTGGTATAACGATAAGGCTTTACGTACAAACTGTTAACCCATTTATTTTTACTTTTATTTAACGTTAATTATTCGACTTACATATGGAATTTCAACAAATTTTCATTTTATCATTATCGTTATTACTAGTATTCACTTATAATAATAATATTTTTTGGTTTATTTAACATTAGATGTAAACTCAAGTTCACAGGCGCAGTAATCACATGATAACGAAGCACATTAATTAGAACGAATTATCGCTGAATCTTTTCTTACTAATCTAGTTTATACTGGTAAGCTAGATATATGGGATACACATTCATTTTGATACCTCTTTGAGAGTTTAACACTTAAAGCTCTTTGTTCAGCCAACTCTGGAGATATTCTATTTGATACAAAATTTTTATATGCTTGTATACGCCAATGCCAATATGGCAAACTAGTTATTTTATTAGATAATATCTAACGCTTAGTATTTATAGGGCAAAAAGCCTTTTTCTCTGACTTAACCAAGGATAATATATGATCTTTTGATCGAATACCTATATTCTTGGCATAGAATACTTCATTTTTGAAGAGACAATCATAATAAACTTGGGTCATTGGATCAAAGATCTCAGCTTTGTCTACTGGTTCATCAAGAAAAGAACCACCTAGAGTTGGGAAGTATGTTTCACTAGCCATTTCACTCATGCCCTTTTTACTAACTCCTTTATGCTTAGACTTTGTGGACTTATCTGCTAGAACATAGTGATAAGATTTGGCCCGAATATGATAAGATTCTGTAATCACATTGCCTGGAGTCTTATCTTTAAAAAGACCTATAGTTTTTGAATCATTAAGATCAAAGATATCAGGTCGCTCTTTCATATCTTTATAGATATCCTCAGTCTCAACTTGAAATAAATATGAGTCTGTATTCTTATATCCAAGCTGGGCTTTATCACCATATCTTTCTTTTATATACCCATACTAGAAGCAGTACATGTGAAGTTTGCTAAGGCCAAGAACTGATGCTCTAACAATAATAGGTTTATTAAGAGTTATACTAGCTTTTCCCATATGTGCTTCTATAAGTAAAGAACCAAGTTGTCTAGCATACTTAAATGAGGGTTTACGGATCTGATTAATAAATTTCTTTTCGTCTTGCTCATTATTCATAGCCATGAGCTTGACGTCTTGGTATTTGCGAACATTTTCCATAGTTTTGCCATATACTGA